TGGTTTTTCAGTGGTAGGTGTATAAATAATCAGCGTGTTTGTATTTAATCTTATTCGTTAGCGGAAAAATCGACATTGAGGCCCCAAACGCGTTCTCTTTGTTCTGATTCTTAAAAGAAAAATTGGCGACCAGAATTTTCCATCTGGCTACCAAAAATTTTGGTTTGTGTTTCGCTGCGAAGGAAAAATTTTATTGACACTTTTTGGCAACCAAATTTTTCCCTATGGCGACTGAAAAAAAAATTCAGTCGCCAGTTGGTGCCTGCCTCAAAAAGTTAATTTCGGACCCTGTCATTTTAAAGATAAAGAGTTGCGAGAGGTCATTCAAAGGTGTTCACTTCATCTTATCTAGTCAAATGCAGATAACAGTTTACTTACTTTTGTCCACCACACAGTACATGTATGCTTGTGATCAAATTTAATGTTGGTGAACTACAGCTGTATACTAGAAAGCTACACAGTTCATACTGTGGACAGTGCCACTGAAAATGGTAAATTTGTTTTTAAATTTATAACTTGTAATAATGCCCTTTTTATATTAAGGTGATCCATCATCTCATGCCAGTGTTCATGTTGAGCATGGAATCATTACAGCTTCCATAGCAACCAAAGATGATACTTACATTATTGAGGTAAGCTAGCCATCCAGTAATTTTAGACTATCTCTAACTAACAGAGTCTTGTTGTTCAAAGAGCACAAAGAGCAGGCATCCTTGTATAGAGAATGAATCCCTATTCAGCAGATAAAGTTGTTCTGGTATATAAATTTGGTCAATTTCTGGGTTTCACTGTCATGCCATCAAAAATAGAAATCATAACCATTCTCAATCAATAAATTTAGTCAAAAATCTGAGGTATGGTAAAAGTCAAGCCAGGTGGCCCATCAGGCTAGAGCTTATCCTGATATCTGTAGCATGAAGTGACTAGGAATATTTCTACTCCCTCCTACAGTATCGCCTCAAAGTATTTACTCATTTACCGAGGTTTTGCCACGGCCGATTTACAGATTAAGACCACATTCTCGCCTCGTCAAAGATGCGGCGTGCAGAAATTTTACTGAGGCTTTACCTAGGTTTGTCACGGCATACAATACCACGGTAAATGGTAAGACACGGTAGAGTTGAATAGGCTAATATACCTTTTGTTTCGACTCATTAACTTTACAATGCCATCTTTCATGCTCTGGCGATAAATCACATGTCCCTCATATTACAAAAAGGCCCTACTGTAGCATTGTTAACTTCTCAAGAATTCATCCATTGTAAATATTGAGTTATTGCTATTACAGCGTCCCTACATTTCAGTTTAAGTCAAGATACGGCACTGTGATGTATCAAGATAAATAAATAGTTCGCTGTCTTCGCTGTCGCATGCGAATACTAAGGCGTCATGCTGGCCAGTTTGCTTTCAGCATTTTCATCTGTGACGCAAAAATTTATGTAAAAGTACTCCTTAAAATAAGAGTTTTTTCCAAATAATAAAGTTTCCTCAGAGTCCAGAAATTCGCAGTCGAGAAGCGACAAGCGACATAACAGTTTTATAACTTTCACGTGTTCAAACTCGTGTCGCATGAGATGTCACGTTTTCGTAGTCTCGTTCACACTTGGGGCTTCACATTGAGAGTTGTTTGATATTTATATAAATGTGAAGTTGCATCGATCATGAGAATGTTTCAAATGTCACAATACACACAGCTGAGATTGCTCTCGTTTTGTAAATCAAATGTGAAGATTGCTAAAGTTGTTCGGGAATTGTTCAGCGTTCACAGGAAGATTTTCGTCACATGCTAAGCAACGAGTTGAGCAAGTGGCTCAAATTTCATTCACAAACAAACATTAGTAAAAAGCTTTATTATATCTCTCAGTTAGCACCCGTGCTGCAATTGGTCAATTTAGTGGGCGATAATCTACTGTATGGCCCGCTAAAATTTAAACCCTTTTTTGTTGCCAAAATGTTTCGTGATTTATCACCAAGTGTGGGAGGGATAATAATATTTCCACTGACAAAGAGACAAGAGGCAAGCAGGTGAAATACCGACAGGCTTCTCCCAGACGTTGTTTATAAGTATTTATTCTCATCCAATTTATAGAAACTTTTATCGGTTTGCTCTGAATTTGATATTGAGTTCGCGATCTATGTAACGTTTATGGCGAGATAGAAACGAACCATAGAATGCAAAGTGCATGTTTGGATGTCCCGGAATCCCAGATATAAAAAAACATAAATACATGTTTGCTTGCGTGCGCAAGTGCTGCAAACTTGACAAATTAGCGAAATGTTTTGGTGTCATCTTAGTCAATTTTTGTGTGGCAAAAGTGAAAGAAACAACAAGTATCTTGACATTTGCTGAGCAATACCATCAAATTACTGGAAACAGAACGGTTCTGTGACAAAAGCGTCTTGCATCGTGTTGTTTGTTTTGAATGTTATGCAAGTATAAGGCATCACGCATGATACATTAATCGTTATGTTAACTGAGCCATTGCCGTCTATAAACTCGCAATTGAATGTGTATTTTGAAAACAAGAGGAATACACCAAGTAAATTGTCAAGATTCTGATAGAGGAGAATTTTGTAACTGCTGGCATGCAAGTGCATTTTACAACGGGTACTGCTACATTTTGTTGGCAAAAAAGCCGGCAACGCTGGATGCCCAAGGTGACATTTCACGTGTAAGAGTAATCAATATAAAGAAAACACTTTCTAACAAAAGAAATTAGCTTCTACTGCCTGAGTTGAGCCTGATATTTGGACAAGAGCATTACTAACAACATTAATCTCAAATTCTACCCCACAGTAGTTACTACATGTAGCAAAGATTTACTAAGTTAAAACTAGAGCACCAAGAGCATTTACTCAGGCTTCTTACTGCAATATCAAATCGTACAATGTACTTCACAAGTTAGCTTAAATTGAACTAAAAAAAATCAGGATATTTTAACACAAGAGTTACGCTTACAATAGATATTTACTTTTCAAGTTGCTTTGTTGAGTATCCTCATAATCCAGTTGCATTTTGTTTGTATGTCTCATCTTCAAAGTTCTGTTTGTGATGATTCTTGATTTTTTCCACATCTCAGCATGGCTAAGTGGTTAGGGTGCCAGACTTGAAATCCGGAGTTCTTGGGTTCAAGTCCCGCTCTGACCACTTAGCTGGAGTTGTTTCTTGGTGAGCCCTAGTTCAACTCCTCGGTCATGCTAAGCCTTGTAAATAGCCAACTGGTCTGCCTCCCACCAGTTGGGATTTTTAAGCCTATTATGTTTAGTTGATGCATTTGTTTCTTTCAGTTAAAGTGGCATGCCTGTGAACTAGCTAGTTGTAGCATTGACCACTATTAAAAGCAACATTTTGTTCATCTCAGCATGTTTCAGTTCGTACATGGCTCATTTGTTATCTTGCAAGAACAAGCATGAACTTTGCTTATTTGCCAGGCTTTCAAGTAATATAATTCGTGGACTAACCCATTCCAGAAACAATTAACATCTTTGTATGCAAGATGATTGTATAAGGCGTGATTCTTTCCAAAACTCTCTTCACAAAACACTGCATTCTGTCTTATTTAGTAAATACGTATTACATTGTTCACGTAGAGCGAGTGCACATTANCAAGGAATGCCTGGGACCATGACTCCCCTTTTGGCGACCAAGACAAAATGGCTTGCATTTTATGACTTGGGTTTTCCTACAAAAGTGCGAGTAATGAAAGTTGACCAAATTCTTCTGGTCCCTGAAGTTTGTTTACCAGTATTTTAATTTATGAAAACAATGCGAGATTTACTACGTTATTTACAGTATTTTTTGAATATACAATCGAGCCTCTCCACAACAGCCACCTCGGGGACAAAGAAATGTGGCTGTTGTAGAGAGGTGGCTATTATGGGGAGGTAAAAAATGCTTATTTTAGCATATTAATGGTACATCACCCAATCAAAATGTCCAATAAAACAGAACTTAACAGAAACGGAGACCAACAAAGCGTGGTACGGATCAAGTTTGGCAACTTTTTACAATAAATAATGGGGTTTAATGTTTACGTTATCTGTCAGTCACTGGTTAAGTGGGCATAGTCAACAGGTTATTTTGGTTTTTTGGGATGTGTGTTAGTGGTCATTGTGGAGAAATAAGAGTGAATGTATGGACTGTCTGCTGGGACCAAAAGAGTGGCCGTTGTAGAGGGGTGACCACTGGTGGAGTTTTGACTGCATTTAATAAAAAACAATTTGTGGTTAAATGGGCACTTATGATATTGCATGCATATGTGGGAACTTTTCAACCATTGTTTTACTTGCATTGTATTGGAGGTTTTGCGATTTCAAATACAAATTCTGAAAAGTGTCTTATTCCTTAATAAAAGTGGGTACATGTATTTGGGCAGCAGAGTTTTTAAAGCACATAAAACTTACACATTATGGAGTAGAATGATGTTCTGTGTACATGGAGATATGGAGTTCTGTTTATATTAAGATCAAAACAACTTAATTATTTTATGTTTATTATATACATGTAAGCAAATGTACTCATAACAGTACTCAACAGTTGCTTGATAAACAAAAGTATTGATGAAAGTTGAGGTAAAACACCAATAGTTTTATTGTGTTCCTGAATAATATTCACAGGTACACAGGCTGAGGGGGTACGAGGGGGGCACCCCATTTTCGGAAAATGTGAAAATTAATTTTTTGGGCAAAACACTTAATATGATTCAGGCAACAGCACATGGGGAAAATCACTCCAAAAGATTGCGAAGTTTGTAGGCTACTTCTCTGACAATTGCCTTTAAGTCAAATTATGATGTGAGGGATCCAGGTTTTCTGGAAAAGCCAAATATCAGTATCATGGAAATCCACCATGTAGATGTCATTTTCATTCCCAATCTTCCATAAATAAAACAATGACAAAAGAATCAAAGAGAAAAGTACTGTTTTGAGTGGCTCCACAAAGAGCAGTTTTTGTTAATTTTTATTATTGAATACATGTATTTTTCTTGAAGTTTACAAACAAGGAAGAAATAGCTTTTTCTTTTTTAGTTTCTAATTTTACCAGATTGTGTAGGCTGTAGATCAAGGTCCTGGAGTATGTGGGGCATCAAAATATCTATTTTTGGGATTAGATGTATAACAGTTTCATTAGACGTGAGAATTGTGAAAACGTGAAAATGTTTTTGTTCTTACTGTGTTTTTTGATTGCCTTTGTGTTCCTTATTGGGGCATTGTGTAATTTTGCAGGCAAGAAGGTCACCCTCTTCTTAAATCAAAGGTGCCCATACACCTATGATAACATTTAAAGATTGGGGCAAAATCTTTCAACCTGCTATTTACAAGCATATTTATGCCACTCCCCATTTTTGTCCATAATTTACTCAGTACCTCCTGGATCATGAAAAATTTGCCACAGAAACTCAAATGAAAATTACCTTTTGTGACAGCTATTGACACAAGTTATTACTGTGTATGCATTGCTACAGGCCTAACAATTTTACTTTTTTTCTTGACATGATATTTTGCAGCCAGCTTGGCGGCACATTGAGTCTGGGAATCAACATATGATTTCATACCGACATTCTGATGTCAAATCTAATTTAACAAATCCTCAAGGTGATCCTAAGTGAGTAGATTCAATAACCTACTTGTGCATGATGTTGTATTTAACACAATTTCTGACTAATGATGTTTCTTTCTTTCCTGGAAATAAACCCCATCATGTCCTGATTTATGATAATTTTGGTCTGGAAGGTACCGTTAATAGTGCTCAGAATACTTCTGAAGTTACATTTTACAAATTGAATAAGGTACAGTTGAACTCTGCTGTTTCAAACTCCTGGGGGAAAAGAAAATAGTTTGAAATAGCCAATAGTAAATGACTGAACAGCAAATCCATGGCAAATGGTTTTGGAATAATGGGGAACTAGAAATTATAACATTACGGTGTTCAAATTAGCTGGGTCCAACTGTATATTTTATATTAATGATAATGAATAACCACTAAAAGTGACTGTGGATCAATGAGCAGAAAAAATTAATGATGAGATAGGTTACATGAGACAGGTCTGGGTCTGCAATTTGTGTTTGCTGATAACACTGTGTGATACCTCATTCTTTATGGATTTTAAATGAATGATTTACAAAAATTAAAATTAATGCAAGTTTGATTTATAACTTTCGATAAAAATGATTACATTGATTTCATAGTATTCTTTCATACTTACGTCTTTTTGCAATATGATTTCAGGAAGAAACAATATAGTTTTTGTGGTCATGATTCTCATCATTCTCCTGTGCTTTATACAAAGGATGGCAAGGGTGAGTTAGAAGAAATAGCTTGTTATTTTGCCTGAATTCGTAATGTGATTTCATTGTCTCTAAAATAAGAAAGTATTAATGGTTATTACCATGAACACCGGCGGATAAGCCGCACTCGCAGATAAGCTATGCCCTAAGTTTAGCAACTCAAATTTCGGAAAAAGGTTTTTGGAAAGACATCAAAATAATTCTCAAGTGGAGTCTTGAGAAAGATTCTTTACATATACATTTCTTGATTTGTTGAATGTAAACCCACGTAAACAACAGAGAATGCTTCAAACTGAAATCCTTAACAGTTCCTATAAGTTTAGTTCTACAAGCTAAGTGTATGGACATGATGTTTACCAACATTGACATATGTTTGATCTTTCTCTAGTATTTTTCAACAAGGATTTTTTTCAGTCCTGTCAGATTTTCAATAGAATTTTTCATACAACAAGAATGCTTTCACTCATTGTTCATAGCTTATAATAATAATGATAATAATATATTAAATTAAGTGTCATTGTCAGAGAAAACCGGGCAGTACCAAAGATCGAGGTCGGCCGTTCACCTTCATGTTTTCACTGTGCAAAAGCTACCTGAAAAGAGTAACAACCTTGACATTTGCCGAGGTAGGTGTTTGTTTTTCTTTGAGATGTCACCACATCATGATTTTGGGCTCTCAAGCGGTCAAAAGCGGCTGAAATTTCAGGCAACTTTAGGTAAGTGTAAAAGATACTTCGTACAAATTCCAGAAACTCTTATTTTTGTGTGATAATATTTGTCCCTTTATTAGTTGACTGAGATATATTTGAGGTCTTTCACTTTAATTCGACGGTTTTTACGAGGTGCCAAATATCGCTGCCAAATTGTTAATTAGCATGACCCGAATTTTAGCCATTTTCAGCGAGTCGTTTTTCAAAAGTGCAGCAGTTTATTTCCACAGAAAAACAATTTTGTGATAGTCTCTTGCATTGTTATTAATATCTGGTTGAGTTAAAATTGGTATCTACAAGCAAATCAGAGTAATTGGTCTCGCAAAGTCCAAAAAAAATCATTATTCAGAAATATTTCCCGCCAAATATTTAGTGAAAAATATCACCTCATTCCGACTTTCTGCAATTGTTATTCATGATTTAATGAAAGATCTGCAAAAAAATAGTTAGCTGGACTGCAGAAGAGAATGTTTAAGCTGTGACATTGTTGTTAACCTAAGTAAACATTTCAAACTCACCAAATCCTTACCGTCTAGGCTAAACTTTCCGGTGAAAATTCTATTTTTAACGTCACGCTGCATGGAAAAACAAAGTAAATCCTTAGTTTGATGGTCTTTGTTGCTGTTGTGTAGAACAAACTAAGTTAATAGTGAGTGAACCTTTACCCTAAATTTAATTTTGGGACCTCGGCAAACCCTTTGTTTACATCTATTTCTCGTTTTCAGATGGCATGATGCGTTACAGATTTAAAGGTAAGACTTCAAAATGTCGATATTACCTAAATGTTCCTCCTTGTTTTTGAAAACATTAACTATTCTTTCAGATCAGAAAAATCGCCAAGCATTGCGGGTGGCAGGTCAGTTTTTTTCTTCAATTATTAGCGTGCAAACAAGAGGGTCGAGTAAAGACGTCAGAGGTGGCGTCTATTTGGTGCAGCCGAATGTAAACAATGAGGAAATACAGGTTATGACAAAACTTCATTGCTCTCCGGCCTACGTAATGATCAAAAAGGACAGACAACTGGAATAAGCATCTCAATACGTGAAATTGTCGCTAGGTCTGCAGAATTGCCAGTGGAAATCTTTCTTGCTATCATTGTCATTTGTATTGTCGCAGGTTTGTACACTGTCTTGTTTTCCATTTCATTTCCTTCCTTTATTACCTCATGCATGGAATTGACTTACGACCACTTGCTATGAAGCTTGAGATAATTTTTTGCTGATTCAAAGGTGTCTTAAGGTGTCTCGAAAACCCAGACCCGGAAANAATCAAGATTTTTGAGCTTATACGTTGCATGAAATTGACATTTTGCTGTTTTCTAATTGAAATCAACATCCTTGCCATCACGCGTTAACGTGAAATCGGCATTTTTACCTGTTTAGACCTGAAATCAACATTTTTTAGCTTATACGTTGCGTGAAATTGGCATTTTGCTGTTTTCTAAGTGAAATCAACATCCTTGCTGTCACCCGTTAACGTGAAATCAGCATTTTTACCTATTTAGACCTGAAATCAACATTTTTGAGTTTATACATTGCATGAAATTAACATTTTTCTGTTTTCTAGGTGAAATCAACATCCTTCCCGTCACGGGTTAACATGAAATCAACATTTAAACCTTTTTTGACCTAAAATTGACATTTTTGAGCTTTAACGCTGCGTGAAATTGACATTTTGCTGCTTTCTAAGAGACATCAACATCCTTGCCGTCGCGCATTAACATGAGTCAACATTTTAAGCACTTTTGATCTGAAATCAACAAATTTGAGCTTAGATAAGTTGCGTGAAATTGACATTTTGCTGGTTTCTAAGTAAAATCAAAGTCCTTGCGGTCGCGGTGGGCTGATCCTTTGTTATGATAAACCGAGGCGAGACTTCGGCTTTATGACAAAGGCTTGGCTTGGCTATTATAACAAAGGATCGGCGCTGTTTATCATAACAAAGGCCCGGCTTCGTTTATTTGAAGGACTCGGCGGACAAAGGGCGTCAGGTATTTTAATCAAAAGTGAACTTCATCGAAAACGCTCCAAATTTCGCATGCAGTTTTGTTCAGGTATGTTAAGCAATGTCCCGTAGTTTTCGCACTAAAGTTCGCTTCGTTCTCGAGATATTGCGTATGCAATAAACCACTCGCTTTTTCCAACCTATGTGCCTTTTTTGCATACATTATTTCTCGAGAACGAAAAGCAACCCAGCAAAAAAAACTTCAGAGCAATGTTTCTTACGTGAAACAAAGCCAACATGCCAAAATTCACTTTCAAAAATGGCCGAAAAATCTAGGGGACGTTCTTGCATACGGCCTTTCAATTAAGGTTAAACCCTATTTTTACCTCGTTGTCATATGTACCAGTGGAAGAAAGAAGACTTTCTTTAACTGTGGTTAATTTTAACTATAACTTCTTTCTCAGCTCCAGACATGTCATCTTCAAGAAGGAGACGTGCACTTCCAACAAAAATAAGGTGTCCTCTGGCTTTGGTGGCTGACTTCAGATTTTTCAATGAAATGGGGCAGAGCTCTAGAAGGAAAACTATCAATTATATGGTTGGCATTATCAAATTTTACTTGTTAGCCATTTACAGAAGTGGTCAGCAATTATTTGTCATTTTGGATATCATCTTGCAGTCCTTTTTAAGAAGTACATTTTATAGCAAGACTTACTGAAGATATTTTATGAGTCATTCCACTAAGATGATTCTCAAATTGTGCACTTGTGGAATAGTTTTGCAAGTTACATTTAAATTTCTCTCATCTTGAAAGTACAGTCAAACTCCTATTAAGCAGCCACCTATTATAAGTGGCCACCCCCTATTAAGTAGCGAGATATCAAAGTCCTGAAATCATTGTCAGTAAAATGCTGTAAATGAAACCCCTATAACGCGACTTTGGCCACCTTTTGGTCAGCAGATATTTGCCACCAATTAAAGGCTATTCACAACACTATGAAATATGCACCTTACTCAGGAGGGAGGGGGTGACTATTGTTTTCCGGTATTGATTTGTGACCGACTCATCACTGCCAGTGCGACGTCACATAGCAACGAGTGAGCGCTTCGAGTAGCCTATTCAGATTACGCCATTGAAGAAGGACAACAGAGGCTAAGAAAGACAAAAAAAACAGGTCTAATATCGCTTTTGTTCACTATCTAAGTGTAGGTTTGTACAATTTGTTGTTGCTTTTTGTCTGTGTGCATTATCTGTTTTAGTTTTGTGAGCACCTAGTTGTGCTTTCTTGTTGAATTTTGTTGCGGGTAAGTGGCGGGACCGCCATCTTGAAAACGGGACGAGAGAAGTCAACATAAAACATTCGCGTTTTCTCTCTTAAATGTCTTACCAATAGTCTTGTTAATAGGGGGTTTTATGCATTGATAATATACGTTTAATCCGCTTGTCTTTCTATGTCAATTGAACCAGCTGTTCCTCTCATCAATCCATTTGAGTGTTGGGATGCTGTGTATTTCTTGATTTCCACCAAAATTTCCCTGTGATGTGGTCGCTTTTTGTTTGTTTTGAAGCACCCTTGTTGGTAGTTATCAGGCATTTGAATTCAATTCTTTGTGTTTCAACTTCGTTTGCCTTTTGTGTTGTAATTGTGTCCGCTGTATGGTGAAATTTGTTGGTTTTAATCATACAGCAGCTTTATTTGTTGGCTTTTTCCTGTCTAGTTGCAAGTGTTGACTTTTTGCTGTTCACTGTAATTGCAGTGTTCAGTGTTGTGGTTTTCAAATTTACAATAAAGTTAAATTATAGTTTGCCTGAGTAAGCTGTTTTTCTTTTTCTTTTTGCCACTTACATTTTGGTGTAAAATATTTACATTTATGGTGACATCAATTTTGCCTTATGATTTATCTTTTATCACAACCTGACAACTTGGCTTATTCCTGAACAATGCCACATCTTGAGTGATGCTGCAATTGCCTCCAAGATTTTCAAGATTGCATTGTAGTCTTTTCATCCCTTTGAGTTCCTATCATATTCCAAGTAAAAAAACAACCCTCCACTAAATGTCACCAAATAAATATTGCTGCACAGCACTCAAAATATAAGTGACAGTGACTGCTAAGAAACATGTTAGAGTGCTGAAATGCCGTAAAGACAATCAAATATTTATTCTTGTTTATTATATTTGTTAATTTAAACAAGTTTTAAGCCTATAAGCTCTTTTTATTTATTCTGCTTTTATATTCATCTCCTGCTCTTCACAGGTCCACATCAGCCTATAGTTTCAATTATGAATATGTAACAAATTAATGCATCAAATATTTTTAGATGTAAACTTTTGTACGACAAAGGTGAAAACTTACCTAATCTGGCTATCTGAAACATGGAAAGTACTTGGCTGTTTTTTCAACATGGCCACTCTTTGCACTTTAAAGGGATTGATGTGATGAACCACAAGCACCGAAGAACGGAAATTCCACATACACGAAGCCAAGTATACCCTCTATCGAACCTCCTATTCTTGTATCAAAAGGGCTCTGCTTCGCCATGCAGTGACCCTCAAAAGGTCAATCAGCTAACAGTTTTGCTCGACAAATTTGGTTCAAAACAGAAAGTTCTCACTCAATTTATCTTCCTGTTGAATACTTTGGCTCACAGAAAGTACCAAATAAAGATTCCTCAATATAATATAAACCACAATATTTACGCACCTAAGCAAATGGGGCAGAAATTCCGAGCGAAATCCTGCATTTTTATCAACCTCTTCAACTTCACCCATTGGCCGCCATTTCGAATTTCATCCAAGTGAAAAAGTGACGTCACACTGGCAGTGATGACTCAACCAATGTTTTGCTAAGAGATGCCCCCTCCCTCCTGACCTTACTTAAGATGGAGCCATGGAGAGAAATCAAATTGTCTAGTTCAAATGAATATCTGTGCTTTGAGACTGTTAATAGTAGAACATGATCCAGTGGATTTCATTTTCACATGGCCTTTCTTGTTGTAGAAATACTAAATCAAAGACAGCTAATTAAATACGTGCAAATTAGTGACAAACGGCCATTTTAGGAGGGGGTCCCCCTAACTTGAAGGGAGTAAAATATTTTGACCTAATTTTTTGCCATGATCATTTACTCGCCAAACCCAACATTTGTGCCAAGCTTGAGCGAAATTAGTGATTTGAGCTGTATCACCTCCTGCCTGGTTCTTCCTGGTTTTCTCATGGACACACTCTTAAATGGTCACCCAAACTTTAATACATGTAGTTTGGCTTTGTTTTGGAAAAAGTGATGACAATTAAGAGTCCAACATTGGAAGTGATCACTGATTATAACATTCAAACACATGTTTACTATGATTGTTTTGATGTTAATCCATGTTCACTAAGCAGTGAACCCAATGGTTATTAATATAACTTCAGTGTTGAGTGCATGATTTTTTTTAAAGGATAATAGTATTTTTGTGACAAGTGCCTCAGGAAAACAGTGATACGTAGTCTTTATCATGTACAATAGTAGTCCCAAGCCTTTAGGCATGTTTCTAATTGAATAAATTGATGTTTCAACTAATTCCGGACAAACCCCTATTAAGTGGCCACCTCCCATTTCCGCGAGGGTGGCCGCTTAATAGGGGTTCAACTGTAGTAAATTGTGGCTAATATCAAAATTGAATTTCAACAGTTAAATTGTGCCCAGCAGTTTCTCTAAACTTGTAATACCTGATGATTTTTCTTTTTTCCATAGATTGGTGTGATAGACAGAGTGGATGGCATTTTTCAAAACACTGAATGGTCAAATGAATATAAAGGATATGGATTTGAAATTGAGGAAGTAAGTGAATGACCAGTTTGACATACATGTAGAGCTCTTTATTAAAATATAGTTCCAACCCTTTAACATGTACCTTGAGTCATAGAGGAAGAAGTGTTGCAGTACTGTTTACAAGCAGCTGAGGTGAAAAGCTCATGTAGTGGAAGCAAGTGTTAAGCTGGCACTATACATGCATTTTTAAAACAAGCAAACTGCTTGATTTGTACGTTATTGCAACATCTTCTTTGGTCATGTTGTTGGCCATGTGATCCTCAACCACACTACTTTGGTTGAGGATCCTGTGATAAATGCTTGCTGAATATGGTGTTATGCGATTTGATACAGAGAGCCTCCTTTAAGTGCCCATGTCTCCTACGGGTTTGGTATCTCAGTCTATAAAGCATAGGTATTAGTCTCTTACCCCTCCCAACTTCCCCCTAGGAATTATTAGCTTTAAAGTTCCCAGTTGAGCCAGGCACATTTAAGTTGGCCATTAAAACAATTTGGCGGTGTCTACTGATGTAGAAGGGCATTTGAAGAAGACATTTACTTCAAAATAAAAATGTGTGGTTCCAGAAAATATCCATACCCACCCCACAGAAGGTCACGGAAATTCCGAGGGATAGGGCACTCTGAAAGAGATAAATTTCCAAAGGGGAGGGAGGTACACAATGGGTTTTCTATTCAGATGGGTTAAAATGTGATCGAATAAACACTATTGTACTTTCCTAATCGATTTAGGTAACCAAACCAAATTAAATGTTCCATCCGTTGAAATAAACGTGAGATTCTTTGCCGTTTATTTTCCATTATTGTTGCAATTTGGACAACACAGACAGCGCTCCTGAGCATCAGGCTTGTTGAACAAAACTAACAAAATGCAAACAGTCAAGTGAAATACCAAAGAAGAGGTGCAGTAATACAATGAAGTTGGCAACATGTTGTACATTTTATACCTTAATAAAGATTGTGCCGTATTTTGCTTAAATGCAGCTGGTGCTTCCTCTGGTATTATTCATGCAGTCACTTGGGATTCGTACCCTGTATATTTAATTTGATACAAAAAAGTGACATGTTCTCGTACAAAATTATTCCCATTTCGGACCTACTATAACCTGGTTATCACATCTCTTTATTGTTATCCGTATAGTTAATAGTTTGCTAATGTTAGCAAAATCAATTCAATGCCATTTGTAACCGTGGACAGCGAGGACCACTGATTTCATTCAGCTACGACGTGACAAAATTAAAAAGTACTAAGGCATAACATGAATTTACACATTTATAAACTACAAAAACAAAGAGTATGCCTTTACTGATGTATTCCTTTGCTGAAAGACAAATTTAAGCGATATTTGGCAATCAGGTGTTTTGAAAAACATGTTGCATGAGTCTGATGGCTCTGCTTTCTCGCTATAACATGTGTAAAGTAATTCGAAATGTTGTTGGCTATGCATACATTAAAACTTCAGCAGGTTTATTTGAAAGAGCATTAAAACTTACAATACTTTTAGATTCTTGAATGATAACTTCTTTGAATAAAGAAAAGGTCAGCTGTTATGCCATTTTAATGGGGGTTAAGCACTTCTCTCAAACATTTCAACCCCAAGGGACACATCTGTATTTTACATCTAGAATAGACCTTATCATGGTTTTCAATGCCATCGTGACGGGTAGGCATAACGGTCGGAAATTGCAGGTAATTTTTCTAATTTTCAATACAGAAATGTCTGTAAATTTGGCTGGGTAGACGCAGTGGAAGGGGAAAAAATTACAGACAAATGTATGGAAAATTAGAAAAATTAACTGAGCATCTTCTAGCCAAGTATGTGACTTTTTCGGGTGAAAAATGATTTTTTTGTTCAAAAGCGCCCAAATTTTTGCATGTGGTCTCCAACGTAATAGGAAAACATTGCCCTGTGTTTGTATTGCTTGTTTTTCTCACCTGATGTACAAAACAAAGTGGAAAGTTTACTCGCTCAAAGACGAGATATGGAAATGAATTTCTTCAACTACGTTGTGACGTAAGCCTGCGTTTGCATTATTTTGGCGCGCAAGACAACATCAAGCTTTCGATCAGACAAGTTGAAACCTCACCTGT